GATTTTTTGCAAGCTTGATGGTGGAAGAATTGTCGCAACGGATTTTAATAGAATCAGTTTGAGTACCTTCAATCTTCTTCAAAATTCGTTGCATCCAAATGCTTTGACAAGCACAAGAAGCAGCGGCAACATACTCGGCTTCGGTTGATGATAAAGTTACTATAGGTTGCTTTTTAGACGCCCAAGCCACAGCTCCACCACTTAGCTTAAATACATAGCCTGAGGTGCTCTTTCTATCGTCCAAATCACCGGCATAGTCACTATTCGTGTATGCCATTAATTCGTTTCTGCATTCTCTTTTATAAAAAATACCGAAGTCAACAGTAGCTTGAATGTATCTCAGTATTCGCTTAGCTGCTAGCATGTGCGTCTCCATTGGATTAGACATGAATCTACTTATGAGGCAAACACTGTACATTATATCTGGCCTTGTTATTGTCATGTACATTAAGCTTCCCACAATCTGCTTGAACAAAGTTTCATTTGCTTTTACTCCGTTCTCCTCTTTTGACAGCTTATTTCCAGGAACTATAGGATTTCTTACTCCATTACAGTTGCTCAACCCGAACTTCTCAAGTATTTCACCAGCATATCCTTTTTGGCTGATGTAGATGCCATTGACACCTTGATGCACTTCCACCCCCAAAAAGTATTTCATCTCTCCAAGATCAGTCATCTCAAACTCGGTATGCATTGAGCTTTTAAAATCTTGCTCCTTGAATAAATCGTTACTTGTAAAAATAAGATCATCAACATAGAGACTTACAATCAGAATTTTGTTGTGTTCACGTTTCTTTACAAATAAAGTGTGATCATCGCAATTCTTTTCGAACCCTTCTTTGATGAAATAGCCTTCAATCTTACTAAACCATGCTCTTGGGGCTTGTTTCAAGCCGTAAAGAGCTTTGTTTAGTTTGTACACCTTGTTCTCCTCTCCTTTCACCTAAAAACCTTGTGGTTGAGCAACATAAACCTCTTCGGTGAGTTCCCCGTGCAGGAAGGCACTTTTAACATTAAATTGATACAACTTCCAGCCATTTCTTGCTTCCAATGCGACCACCATTAGAATAGTGTCCCATCTTGCTACAGGTGCAAATACTTCGTCGTAATCAATCCCTTTTTCTTGAGCATACCCTTTGGCCACCAGCCGCGCCTTACACTTGTCAATCTCTCCATTTTCGTTCAATTTAGTTCGATACACCCATTTTACTCCTATTACTTTTGCTCCCACGGGAGCCTTTACGAGCTTCCAGGTACAATTCTTTTCTATTACCTTAATTTCAAGGTCCATTGCTTCCCTCCATTTTTTTGATTTCACTGCTTGTTCATAAAACAAAGGATCAGCGGATATATGTAAAGAAAAATTTTGTACCTCATCTTCGGAGAGTCCTTCTCCACTTGTGTAATCATCTAGATATGTCGGAGCCTTTCGTTCTCGTACAAGTGGGGTTGCTGCATCAATACCATAAGTAGTATTTTCATCTGCTGTGTCTGAACTTGAAGAGGTTGTTGCATCACCAGAGGTGATATTCTCATCTATTGTACTACCTTCATCTAAATTTGCTTCTTCTTCTTCTTCTTCTTTACTTTCTTCATCTTGATTGAAGTTTTCCTCATAAGCTTCACCCCAATCAAGTATATCCCTTGTCTCTTCTTTTGTACTCTCCCAATCCCATCCTTCATTTTCTTCAAAAATCACATCTCTACTGATAGTGATTTTTTTTGTAAAAGGATTGATCATTTTGTAACCTTTGGACTCTTCACTATAGCCAATCAGAACCTGCTTTTGGCTTTTTGCATCTAATTTTAATCTCTTTGCTTCTGGTATATGCACATTTCCAACACACCCAAACACTTTGAAATATTCAACATTCGGTTTTAGATCACTCCAACATTCTTCTGGAGTTTTGTTCTTCAAAGAAGCAGTTGGACTCTGATTGAGAACATGACACGTCCACTTCACAGCATCTGGCCAAAGCATTTTGGGCATGTTTTTCTCTTCAAGCAAACATCTCACCATATTGAGGATAGTACGGTTTTTGCGCTCCGCAACTCCGTTTTGCTGAGGCGTATATGCTGTAGTGAGCTGTCTTCTTATGCCTTGTGTTTTGCAAAATTCTGAGAATTCCTTAGAGTTGAATTCTCCTCCTCTATCTGTTCTCAGGCTGCACATTGATAAACCACACTCTTTCTCTACCATTATTTTGAAATTTTTGAAAGTCACAAAAGCTTCACTTTTCTCATTTAGAAAATAAACCCACAATTTCCGACTATAATCATCTATGAATGTTAATATGTACCTCTTTTTACTATACGAAGCAGGCGAAATAGGGCCGCATATGTCGGAGTGTATCAGTTGCAACTTCTTTGTGGCTCTCCAATTGCTCTTCTTTGGCATAGCTTCTCTTTGTTGTTTTCCTAACATGCATTTTGTACACCTTTTTGTTGGAATTTTGATGTCTGGCAGCCCTCGAACCATCCCTTTATTGTGAAGCAAAGCTAGATTTTTATAGCTCAAGTGCCCATATCTTCTGTGCCAAATTTCACTTGGCTCTTCAATTTGTGTGTTGAAGCAGGAAGGTGATTTTAAAATGTTTGCAATAACAACAAACATTTTATTTGCTGTCATTATGCTTTCCATTATAACACCATGAATAGGATGATACAATTTGCAAACTCCATGTTTGATAGTAATGGTGATGCCTCGCTCTTGTAACTGACCTATACTGAGCAGGTTATTACGCAATTCAGGTACATAGAAAACATCACTTACAGTACGAGTTTGACCTCCAACTTCTAGCTTGATTCTTCCTTTCCCCATCACCATTAGCTTGGAATCATTTCCAAGTTTTACAGAATGCTTAAATGTTTCATCAAGTTGTGTGAACCACTCTTTGTTTCCTGACATGTGGTTTGAACATCCGGAATCAAGAAACAAGATCCCTTCCCTTTTGCCTTCGTTGAGATCAGCCTGCGCCATTAACAACATTTCATCTTCATCATTGATCTCGGCATAGTGAGCCCGCTTCTCTGAACTACGACATTCATACTGAAAATGTCCCAAATTGTGACATTTATAGCATTCAACAGCAGATTTGTCAAAGAATTGTCTGCCCCTGCCTCTTCCTCGACCCCTAAACGTGCCTCTGCCTCGTCCAACTCGCTCATCATGTGTAACTTTCAATGCTTGATCTTCTTCTACAGATGATTTCATCCTTTGTTCATGAATTAAAAGGCTACTTTGGAGTTCATCCACAGTTAAGATATCAACATTATTTGATTCTTCAATCGAACATACCACGTAGTTGAATTTTGTAACTAAGGATCGAAGAATTTTCGATGTGATATCAGCTTCTTTGAGACTCTCACCGCATGCTTTCATCCTCTTGGCAATTGATAGTGTTCTTCCAAAATAGGCATTGACAGTTTCCCCTTCCTTCATCTTCAGAATTTCGAATTCAGTTCGTAGGGTTTGGAGTTGTGCTCTCTTAACTCTTGATGACCCCTTAAACTTCTGCTTCATTGAATCCCAAATTTGTTTGGAAGTATCATCGTTCAGAATTGTTTCCATAATTTCTCGATCTATGGCTTGATAAAGGTAATTTTTCACCTTCTTGTCTTTCAATTGTTGTTCTGCGATAACCTTGTTTTCTGCTTCTGATGGCTCTCTTCCGGCTGGAATCTCAGTTATTCCATCTTCTACTAGGTTCCAGTATTCCTTTGAACGAAGGAAATTCTCCATTAATTTTGCCCAGTGTTCATAGAAGCCATCAAATTTTGGGATGGCTGGTTGCACAAAGCTACCATTGTTGGTACTTTCTGCCATCTCTCTTTACACTCTTCTCACGTGTTTCTCTCACACTCTTCTCACGTGTTTCTCTCTCAATCAAAACTTTTTGATAAAGCTCTGATACCAATTGATAAGTATTGAACAGAATATGCAAAAGATATTTTGTTATTGATAGCAGAATCAAACATGGCTTTAAATAGCCTTACAAATAACAGAACGTGCAAAGAGAAAAAGATAACTCCTCCTTATAATTAGGAAGGACTGGGTTACAGCAAAAACTAATTTAAACTTAAAACAAACTTCTACTCCTAATATTTAGGAACTTTATTAGCAACTAGAAAGACCAATTCTAAAACACGTAACTCTCAACAAAAATCTCATGAATTATATAGAAAATGATAATAACATTGATGAACCTTTACAAAATCGTGACACTAAAGAAGGACCTTCATCCATTACATGTGAATATTATCTTAAGCTTATGACGCTACTTCAAAACTTATGAATTAACCAAAACTCAACATATACTTTCTCTAATAAGTTTCTACTTTTGAGCCTGTTGGCCCTTCATCAATTGGCATGCAAAGTATTAGCTGCACTTTTTTCATTGTTTTGTCAAAATTTTACTCTAGGTTTTGTGATCACTAATTCAGGTGCTAATGACCATATGTGTGGCTCTCTTAAGTGGCTTCATTCTTATAATAAAATTCCTCCCATGTGTTAAAATTCCTACAAGCCACTATGCAATAGTTAGACATGATAAAACCATTAAGTTTTCTTCTAAACGATTCATTTCCAATGTGATTTATATCTCTGTTTGAATTTGGTATTTATATCAAAATTGTGTTTAGCATTAGGCCGCATAGTTATTTTTAATGGTTTCCAATGTTTTATTCAGGGGTATAAGTCTTTAAAGATTATTGACTCTAGTGAAAATTACATGATTATTAAATAAAAATTACATTTTTTTTGTCTTAATAATCTTTTTTCAATCATATTTAGCTAAATATATTATAAAAATCTAGGTCTAAAGACAGATCCAGAAAACTAAAGCACATTAAAGAACAAAGATGTTTCATTCAAGTTTAAGATAAACCATTATGAAATTGTACCCTTTACATGTTTCCACTAATTCATTCCAACTCACATTTGATAAAAGTTCAAAATCAACATAAAACAGAACCCAAACAAAATAACAAAATTAACAAATCTAAGAGCTTGTGAACTTGGTTACAGCCTTGGTACCCTCAGAGACGGCATGTTTGGCCAATTCACCGGGCAAAACAAGTCTAACAGCGGTCTGAATTTCCCTTGAGGTGATGGTTGGCTTCTTGTTGTACCTTGCAAGTCTTGAAGATTCAGCAGCAAGCTTCTCGAAGATGTCGTTGATGAAACTGTTCATTATACCCATGGCCTTGCTTGAGATACCAATGTCTGGGTGAACTTGCTTCAGAACCTTGAAGATGTAGATCTTGTATGTCTCCACGCTCTTCTTGTTTCTCTTCTTCTTCTTGTCTCCGCCGGCAGCACCGCCATCCTTAGGTAGCTTCTTTACGGCCTTTGGCTTCTTCTCAGCAGGAGTCTTCTCGGCTATGGTGGACTTCTTCTCCTCGACGGGTTTCTTCTCAGCAGGCTTCTTCTCTCCTTTTGGTGCCATTGAAGAAATTGGGAATTTGAGAAATGGAAGTTGAAAGAATAAAAGAAATGCAGAATGAGAAAATGTGAATGATAAAAGAGTGGAGCGGTGATGTTTTATATAGGAGAATGCTCTTGCGTTACAATTGGCTTTGATGTCATTTTGCGGATCGATGACGTGGAGTTCCATAAGCCGTTACTTTTCATTCCTTAGAGGAAACACAACAATACACGGTCACGATTTTGCTATAATTCAAAGATCTAAGAAAGCTTTTATCTCATTTTCCTTGTACTAGGATCTAATTACTTTTCAGTTTCATTGCGCATCCAAAAGGGCATTACCGATTTTATTTCCTTTTTTCCTTACTTTTTCTTACTGAAATAAGGGCACCCGAATATATTATTTTATTTAAAAATTGAATTATCATAAATATATTAATGCTATATTCTTTTTTTAATATAGGTATACTTGGTTGGGCACAAATGCAAGAAAAAATAGTTTAGGCACTCACACATATAATTATATATCATTTTATTACTATTAGAATCATACATTATTTATTTTTTTCTTACTTTTATGTGAGTGTGTCTATATATTATGTTTAAATTTTGTGCTCATACAATACTTTCTCTATAAAAACGGTGCCTCAAAGTTGAACATGATTTCGGATTTAAAATATATTTATAAAGAATTATATGTGATATTCTTATTATTTATATAATTTTATTATATCATTTTATTTTATTTTATTTGTGGAGTTAAATTGAAACCAAAATAAATCTTAAAGGACTAATATAATATTTATTTGTCTTTGGCGATATTTTTTCACCCAACCACAACCATATTCAATTTATTTGCAACTAATTTCTTTTCCATTTCGAAAACCTAAATGCTCAATTAGTTCAATGACACCAAAGATAAATATATATATTGGTTAGTATACTTATTCGCGGATTGATGAAGTGTCACTCCTGTAGCCGTTATATTAGAACAAAAAGATAGACGGTTACAATCTTGTTTTGATTGCTTTGATTTTACAATGATGTTTTTCTTTCTTTTCTTTTTTTTTTTCCTTCAATTTCAGATTTTCAGGACCTAATTAATTTGTATTTCTCTTTTTTTCGCGGTTTTTTTGTTGTCTTCTACCTCTGCCACGTAATACTTTTTATTTTTTGATTTTTATATATTATATTTTGTAACGTTTTTTATTAATTTTTATTATTCGTTTTTTTTATTAGATTATTTTTATTAATACTTTTATTTTTATAAATATTTATTGATAAATTAATATGTTAAAATGTAATTTTGGGGCTTTAAATCCATTAACTTGTCACATAGCCCAACAATGAAGTTTTAACTAGGTCTTGAGTAAAAAATGTATATAAACTCTTGTATTTGATCAAAAACTTTCGATGTGGGACTCATAACCACTGGCCACCATACATTTTCCATCATTTACAACCACTATCACCATCTTGTTTCACCTCAACTAACAGACTTAGAGCTTAATGAGAAACAACCTTTACCTTCAGTCTCCTTCTCGTTGTTATTAATTTGTTCTCAAAAATTAAATCTTGTTTGACCAGTGGTGCTTTAATTAAAAGCTTTTCCGAGTGCGTGATGGAAACAACAAGACTAGCCAGCACAGATACATGATAACAACATGTAATAACCATGCACCCAATATGAAACCATACCTCATCAAGTTGCATCAATCTGCAAATGAAATTATAGAAAAGCATCATCAATCTGTAAATGAAATCGAGTTCGAAACACAACCAAAAGAAATTAACTTCTTTATCTTAGAGGTATCTTCACCAAATAGTTTAAGATTTTGATATAGCCAAATCGTGTTCTCTAGAAGCATCAACAAGAAACTCCACTAATAAAAGATCTTGAGTCATCTTAGAAAGGTGAAAATGAAGAAAGATTTGTTGATATTGTTGTTGTCACGATTGGCATTTGTTAAAGCTCTTGTTCTATAGCTCCTCGTGAAATGCTCGTGCATACTCCGTATATACGGTGAGGTTGTATCGTTTCATTTTTCTTCTAAGAATATGTCATTTATTTTATTATTTTATCTTAAGGTATCTCAAATACGTGTTGAATACTATTTTCTCGTGTGTTCACTTCCAAAAATTTAAATTAAATATGTGATTATTTCAATTTACGTTGTTATAGTGGTCTAGATCAAATTATGCAAATATTTGTGTTTTGCCTTAATATAACATGTATACATCTTTGTATTTTAAATTGTTCAAATGCACAACTTTAGGAAATATTGTTCATACATATATACATTTCAATGTCACTCGTGCATGAGTCTAGTTACATCTCTATAAGTATGCCTAAATGTATCATAAAAAATTTCTTTGTGTCCTGCACACATGTGTCGACACATGGTGCAATCAAGCCAGCCTGTAATTAACTCATTTAAATTGTGTTGAAATCGATTCAATATAGGTTGTCACATGAGTCCTACGTGTCGACACATAAATTTATTTTTCAACATTTTTCAAATTTGGTTTAGTATGTGCTGACACGAAAATCGTATATGTCGGCACATAAAGTTAAATTTTGTGCTTCCTGAGTAAATGCTTCAATATAGGCCGGCACGTAAAACGCATGTGCCGACACGTAATCCACTTAGACTGACATGTGTGAACAAATGTGAATAAAAGTTTGCTTTTTCATCTTACCTCTTCATTCCTTATCTCTTAGATTCATGAACCCATGCCAAAAACTCTCTTTCACCCATAATATTTTCCTTCAAATTCTTCTCACCACCATCAACTTTGTCATAAAAGTTATCCTACTCAAATCATTAAACTCTAATTCCTCCAATAATCTCACTTAAATTTTTTTCAAAACCCAATATATTGTGTCATTATTTCTCTTGTCCATACATTGCATCTCTCATCCAAAAACCAATAAATTGTGTGTGTTTGTGTATGTGATGTTTCTTTGCATTTATCTCTGTCACAACATCATTGTCATTTGTGGGTGGCATAATTATCTTTTAAATTCCAACTGTTTTGGTTGGAGCATTTTGTCAAACACCTTTCGGGCAAGTTAAGTTTGAGGAATTCTTAATGGCTCCCAAGATTATAAGAGGTAAAGGTGGTACTAGAGGAAAAAACAAGGTTGGTACTTCCTCAAGGGCATCAAAATTAGTGTTCGATTTGGTTGAAGAAGAGGACTTGGAGTTCTTTGAGAGAAGTGTCGAAGAAATATTGTGACAAAACAAAATTATTACAAAGTAAGGACTGCTGAAGAGCTTCACATTCATGAGGTTATGAGTCACATCAATCATCAGGAAATCAACTACTTTTTATAGTTGACTCAAGATTACTATGAAGACTTGATTCAAGTCTTTTATGCCAGGTTGACTAAGCGTAACAAAACTAAGTTCATTTTTCGTATCGGGGGTAAGGCTTACACTTTTACAAATGCTTTTTGGAAATCTGTTTTTGGCATTGTAACACCCCAATTCTACCCCAAGCAAATATGCAAGATACATCAGAGTTATAAAATTTCAATCATACAAATGAATCGGGACGTCACAAATTCTTCTAACAAATTCATTGCATACATCATGGATATATAACACTTTTTCAAAACATCGGATGAACTAATAATATAACATCTTTCATTAAATATTCAACGACTACGCAGCGGAATTCTTCAATAACATCTTTAAATAATATAGCAACTTTGAAACATCTCGTGTTTAATAAATAAACAATTTAAGGTTCAATAACTAAAAATCAACAATCAAAAATCAGCAAGCGTTCATCCCCCCGAGTGTTACATATCAGAGCAATGACACCGACTCGATCTGTTGAAAGTATACGGCTTTCACTCTCGATTACCTGCACGTTACCAACATAGGGGCAACATTCAAACAGAAGGGGTGAGATATCTAACAATATAATAAAGCGCATGATAATTAATATATTAAATTAGATCAATAATATCACCACTTCTCATCTCATAATCAACAATAATTACAGCATATATACTCATTCATCAACATCAAATACATCTCATTATTCATTCATATGATGCGACTCAAAAATATGCAAATGCATGTGGTACCATTGGAGCAAAACTCCCATCTCAAAAATCTAATCTGCCAATCAATAGAGGCATCAAATAAGGCATAGCCTTCATCTCAAAATTTGCCAATCCAGGCCATCTCAAAAAATGCAATGTATGCGACTCAACATGAATGTAATAACACACTCAGTTATGAACATCTCAAAACACATCTCAAAACAATAACATCTCAATCATCAAAACGACAACATTTCAGTCATCTCAAACAACAACATCTCAATCATCAAAACGACAACATTTCAGTCATCTCAACAACATCTCAACCACAACATCTCATAAACATCTCAAATTAATTTGTTAAACATTACTTATTTATCAACATCATTTGATTAATCACATCTTACTAATAACTCAGTTGTATATCAATAATACAGTAATCCATATTGTTATTCTGCTACTGTACATCATTACTGTCACTAAATCCTACTGTCATAATTCTAACAACAACCTCTATCATCTCATAATTCATCATTCTGTCCAAAAACAGCACAACACTCATCTACTGGAATTAATTCTAAATCCTAAATTAGTTATTGGAATTATACCTCTTAATCATCATCTAAATCATCTAGAATAATATTCATCGCGTTAGCTAATCAACGCTTCGAACGACATCTCAAACAACATCCTAAAACTCAAGTTACATCAATTAAAAGTCAATTCTGTCAAAAATCAGACTTTATGTATCGACACAAAACACTATGGGTCGACACATCCTGCTTCTCTGCTCACTATGAGTCGACACATCCTCCTATGGATCGACTCATCCTGCTTCAAATCCCAACATGTATCGACACATGCACTTACCGATCAACTCATCCTGACTCCAAAATGCAGCATGTATCGACGCATGCATCGCACTGGTCGACTCATCCTGAGTCTCACACACTAATGTATCGACA